CACCTAGAGTTATACATATATTCTCTTTCTAATACAAAATGAGTTTCTTGTAAACAGGCGATATCACAATTACTGTCGTTTAACCAATCATATAAAATTACTCTTTTTTTATAGTCATTTAAACCTCTACAGTTCAGAGATACATATTTAACTGAAGCCATCGAAAATAAATGTCAGGCACATCAAGTTATTTATTTATAAAGTTTTCAATACCTTGTTGTCTGTTTTTCCTGCCTCTTGGAAGGGAAACAGAGCGCTGTTTGGTTTTACGTAACTTGTCCGCAAGTCGCTGGATCATCTTTCCGAACTTGTTCTGCCCAGGCCACGCATCCGGATCAGTGTGTGCTGTTTTCAAGGCGTCCAAACCGGTACCCCAGTACAGGTCGTAAACGGAATGGGAGAACGTTGTATCGGGTCTGGAGGACGTAAGAAGATCTTTCATATCTTTGAGCTGATCTATCTTAGCGCACAAGATTTGCTCCATGACGTCATCTGCGTCTTTTCTCCATTCAGGGGTACTAGTGACTGTATTGCCTATAAGCTTGCACTGTAGAGCTGACTTGGTATCACGTATCCTTTCGGCTGCAACAAGATTACCGGTGCGGACAGCTTTTGTGAGCTGGTACGCCTGTTCTGCAGATTTGAAATTTTCGCCAAAAACCTTGAGATCACAAGGATAGAAATTTGATAAGACATTTTTTTCTCCTTGAATATTCACAACATTCTTTTGATTTTCTATATATTTCGGACAGATTTCCGAGCCCGGTTCATGTCCTGGCGATTTACAGGCAGCACACCTTTTTTCATTCGGGCAGTTACGGGCATGGTGATCACTCTCCCAGCATTTTGTACAAGCTAGTGGGGGCTTCTCAGATTCTTGTCCACGATGTAGGATTTTACATTTGAGGCCAGCGCAGTAGCTAAACCTTGGAAGAGGTTTACACGTAAGTGGCTCGACATATATGAAGCGATTTCCGTTTAACACATTTGTCATTTTGTTATTTGAGGGGTTTCTGATTTTCTCGTATTTCAAATCACTTTTTGGGCGAGCACCTAGTTTTGTAAGCATTTCGAGTATAGCACTGTCGTCTACTGACAACGGAACTCCGCAAATGGTGACTTTTAGAGCCTCGTCACTAGGGTTCTCAAGCCCAGCAGCGTAAGGATTTGTGTCGTAGACATCAATATGAAGGTTCTTGAAGTCGAAACCATCAAGTAAAACAGAATCCCTGTTTTGTTTGTCATTGAGATAGATTCTCCATAGGTTTCTATCAAGTTGTATGCATTTAATCGCATCGGCATCGACACTGTGACTGACAGCATCGAGAATATCAAAGTTTGATATACGTTCGTTTTCCTCTTTGGGTAGATCACTATCCTTTATGTACACGGGTTTTAGCAATTGTGCCATTTTGCAATATAAATAAAGCAAGAAAAATGTTCAAACACTAACGCATTCACAGGTATTCACAGGTAAGTTACTATATACACAGAAGATATACACATCGACACATTGAGGACTGAGTACGTACTCACGCAGATCTAAGCTCTCGTCGATTTAAACGAATTATATCCCATGAAAACACCAAATAAACACAAAAAAAAACATCCAAATCACATCCAAATCACACCGAAACCTCTTTTCACAAAAGTTCGGTTAAATATTTTGGATATGTAACTCGCAAATAGAGCGAACGGTCAAATTGACAGGGAGCGGTGAAAACACGTCCACCCCGCTCAGTGTCCCGTGACTTCAACTTCAGTTCTAACAGATAAGTACTATTCAAGCTGAGTCCTATAATTTGTTTCTTGATTATATGGCAATTTAATTCTTAATGCAGTGAAAAATAATTCACTTTTAAGAACTGGTACTTTGTTTCCATGGTAACACTACAAAGTAGCAATGTTACCCAATTTTTCTTATGGTTTTGGTGTTGCAAGGTCCTAAGGATGCATATTTGCCAGTCTTGAATTTTCATGTTTTTCCTCAAAATAGTAGCATTAACCCAATCTTAGTTACTGGTTTTGCATAGTTACACTGTGTTACCATGGCAACCATAAAATTTATTTAAAGAATGATATTGCTTATACTTATATAATTAAGGTCAAACATTTTCATTGTTTTTCTTAAGTCGATGATTGGGTTTTAGCATGTAAAACCTACCATTAGTGAATATGGAGTGTTTTTTAGCATATTTCAGCATTTTAAATGTATTCCAAATGTACCCTTGGTTACCACTTACTTAGAGATATATTCTAAACAGTTTTTTTACAGTATAAGTGACATCAAGGTGTCATGTTTTTGTTAGAATGGTTTGTTTGCTTTTTCTAGTTTTTATTAAGCCACAGTCTGGATTTAAAGTGGCTGAAAATCTCGATTTTTCAAACTTTTCCGGCTGTTGCCATAGCAACCGAGACACTTAGCAACGAATTTTGTTTGATATTTGTTTCTGGTGTTAATAGCCATTCTCTGTAACTACTTAAACTTCGTTGCCACGCATGGTCACCGATTTTGATGAAACTTCACCCATGCTTAGTAATTGACACCAGAAACAAATATCAAACAAAAGTTCGTTGCTAAGTATCTCGGTTGCTATGGCAACAGCCGGAAAAAATTGAAAAATCGAAATTTTCAACCACTTTAAATCTTGACTGTGGCTTAATAAATACTAGAAAAGGCAAACAAACCATTCTCACAAAAACATGACACCTTGATGTCACTTATACTGTAAAGAAACTGTTTAGAATATATCTCTAAGTAAGTGGTAACCAAGGGTACATTTGGAATACATTTAAAATGCTGAAATATGCTGAAAAACGCTCCATATTCACTAATGGTAGGTGTTACATGCTCAAACTCAATCAACGACTTAAGAAAAATAATGAAAATGTTTGACCTTAAGTATATAAGTATAAGCAATATTATTCAATAAATAACTTTTATGGTTGCCATGGGAACACAGTGTAACCATGCAAAACCAGTAACTAAGATTGGGTTAATGCTACTGTCTTGAGGAAAAACATAAAAATTCAAGACTTGCAAATTTGCATCCTTAGGACCTTGCAACACCAAAACCGTAAGAAAAATTGGGTATAATTGCTACTTTGCAGTGTTACCATGGAAACAAAGTACCAGTGCTTAAAAGTGAAATTTTTTCGCTGCATTAAGAATTAAATTGCCATATAATCAAGATACAAATTAAAGGACTCAGCTTGAATAGTACTTATCTGTTAGAACTGAAGTTGAATATCATATATTGATAAAATTTGATGAAGAAAACAACATTGTTGCTATGGTTACCAAGAAGGGAAAATGTTCGATTTTGTGAACTTTATATCAATATTAAACCCTGTGTGCCAATTTCTTGCATCCACTTAGAGATTGGATGATAGTCAAAATTAAAAGTCAGGTTAGCTGTTAATAAATATCAATCATAAAAGTTTTGGGAATCTACATTTAAGGGTACGTATCCAAGGAAAGAAAATATTTTTCAGGTTTTTTACCCATATATTTTCTGCTTATTTCCATAGCAATGCTCTATTTAAAGAATCTAATCTGATTTTTTTTAAATGGGAAAACTAGGAGCACACCAACATCTTTGAAAATTGATCATTAGTTATGAGGAAATGTGCTTTTTTAAAAGATAGGATCAGATTTAAACATACAGAGTGCTACTTTGAAGGCTCTCTGTGGTAAAAAAAAACCTTGGCAACCATTGCCATCCAAAATGAAATATCATATTTTGTTCTTGGTATATGTTTCAAGGCTCTTTTTTCCATTATTTGGACACATTTCATCCTATAATTGCTTTTTACTTTTACGCGTATGACTTTATAAAATTCAATGAATTTTTTTTACTTTTGAATACTTTGTTACCATAGTAACGTATATAATAGCTGATTTACCAAACATGTTTATCATGTATTTGAGACATCTGACTTTCAACTTTTGGAAACAGTCATTGCCAATTGTTTGCTTTGCCGCAAATGTTAACTATGGGGCTCTAAATATGTTAAAAAATGCCATTTTTCGAACTTTAAGACATGTTGCCATGGTAACTAGAAAACATAGCAACCAATTTTTGCCTGATTTCAGTTTAGGGTATCAATAACTTTTATCATAGAGAGTTTGGAGAAATTCTGAGACTATGCGTGCCACAGCTCCTATATAAAAATTCAAGTCATTACAGAGAATGGCTCTTAAGTACTAAGCATGGGTGAAGTTTCATCAAAATCGGTGACCATGCGTGGCAACGAAGTTTAAGTGGTTACAGAGAATGGCTATTAAATACATTTTCCCCAAGCCTATGTCAATAATATACGCGTTTAAGATAGAGTGATCCTTGGATTTTCACAAAAGGTATGACATGACCAAACTTTGACGTTGTCTAACAACTTAAAGGTGAACAATAAATTATCAACTTATAAACTAAATATCCAGTAAAATCAGTAAAACTCTCACACAAAGGTTTATAAAAGATCAAGCAATCGTAATAATGACAAAATTTTCATTTTATACACCACATAGGGCGGTTTAACTCTCATTTCACGTATTAAGAATTAAAATGATAGTAAATGCGTTAAAGTCTCCCCCGCATTTCCAAACAACCGTTTCTATGGCAACTGTCATAGAGTTACTATCAAAGATATTTTAAATGTTTTTTAACTTAAAATATTCATCAAGTGTCTATGTTTTCATTTGAAATGTTCAACCGATTCCACTTAAAATTGAATAAATATGAAGAAATTCCACGAACTTTTGGATCAACCCTCGTATGTATAATTAAATATAATTTTGATTTCATTTATCCGTTACCTTTGAAATACACTGTATTTACAAATTAATTAATATAAAAATAATTTGAAAGCATAGAATATTCAGATGATGGCAGTTTCATTTTATTTCTGGATTATAAAAATGTTTCACTTTGCAATTAATCATTTTTTGATATGTATGTAAACTTGAATCATTATTTCAAAAAGATTGATTGTTAATTTAGGGTATGTTCTATCTTCTCCAGAATCGTTGAGGTATTCAGTAGAAGACTACAAGGTAAACTTGATTTAAATTTGTTTATAGATTTAAAAATTCCTAGTAGATGATCATTTTATATCTTTGAGTGAACTGAGACTCACATTATTAAAACTTTTGCCTATTAAAGGGATTTCAGTGCAAACTATTAATTACTGACGTAGAATTTTACCCATAGGACATAAAAATGCATCAGTTAACACTCTTTCAATACTTAGCCAAAACTGCAGCCCATTTTTAAAAAATCCTGAGTGACAACTGATGTTTATTACAACATTTGCTGATATTATGTTGTATATAAATGATTTTACTTGCTAAGAATAACTAAATTTCAATTGAATTCACAATTGTACGTGCAAAAAAAAACAGACTTTTGTGTTACAAGTTGAAGTTTTGACACTACTGAATTAGCTAAAGTAATACCTGTATTGGCAAACATTCTATAAGCATTTGTAAATTGAGCATGGATCTAAGGTTAACTTAAATCAAACAGTTCATGCAGACATATCGGCAAGAAAATAAGCAAAAATCAATTCCTCTTGATTGGACCAGTATTTCAATTTCATCAGGAAGTATGGTAGATTTCATAAATTTTGATAAGTCCTTTATAGATAATGCTCAAGTAAGATCTATAATATGTACGAGTCAGAGATTTCATGCTGAGGATATACAATGTATATAAAAAAAGTTAAAATTTAATATTATTTTTATTGACACAAGAATTGATTTTGATTGACATTATGCACAGAGACCACAAAGAAGTATATGTCAAAGTTACCTTGTCATTAAATTTTGGATATATACTTCCTGTTTTAGAAACTATATGATGCCACCAATCTTACTTGAATATTCACATAAAAGAAACCAGTGTATCTGATAGTTATAGCATGATATATCTAAAGCTAGTACTCTGTATTTTCTGAAGCAAAAATGTTCCTTTCTAAATTCATGAAAATTAAATATTGGACAAATTTATGTCCTTTAGTAACCTGTGACTTAGTTTCTAGGAAAAAATAATTGCTGATGTTATACTGTAAATGTGTTACATTTAGGGGTGTATTCTATTAAGTGGATTTTGGCGGAAAGCAGACTCCGCTAAATCAAGTACATCGTTAATGTCTTGTATATCATACATTAATATGTAGCACGTTCAGATAGCACTATATCAAATCTTAGCTTACTTGTTGAAAAATTAATTTCAGTCAAATATCATACATGCCAAATATGATACATTTACAACTTATACATGTATATAGTGAAGAAGGTTATGTAGTTTGCGGTTGTCATTTTATGGTGAAAAATATTGCAGAAATATTTGCTGATGATCTATGTTAAAATTGTTAATAACCAAAATTTAGAATAAGAGATGGCCAATTGTATTTCATATCAAATTTTAGGTGTCTGGTATAATCTTCAAATGTGAAATGGTAATTATTTTTAAAAGTACATAGAAAACCCATTGCTTACTAATATATTAGTGCATTTTATTGCATAATTAGAAGTATTTGAATATTTAATGCATTTTGGAAACCCATTTTATTAAAAAAAATTCAAATGATATTTTAATAAAAATTTTGTTTTAAAGTTATTTTAAAATCGTTTGAAAATATTGGAGCATGAGTATGTTCACCTAAAATAAGTGAGTGAAGAGAGCTTGCTAGATTATTTTCTTGAGAAAGGCTTTAGGTCTGTAAGAAAAAAAAAGCATGAAAAGACATTTATAATGTCAACAGAGCATGGAAAAATAGTTTCAATACTCATATATGAGTATTTGACCTTTTGCCAAGTTTGACTTGCTCTCTACTTTTAAAATTTTTAATGACACCCTAGCATGAGGATTAACTTAGCATTATCCAAGATTAGAATAGTATTCTTTCTTTCAAGATATACCAATCCTTCCTCTTAACAGTATATTTTTTTCATTTCTAATACATGTACCGGTACATGATACCTTTATACTGTATTATTGATATGGCCCCCTTCGAAGAATGGAGGGCATATTGCTTTGCTGCTGTCTGTCTGTCAGTCCACCAAGTTTCTGTTCATTTTCTTTGCAGTGGTTGCACATACTGAAATGAAATTTGATATACAGATTTTTCTAGGCCAAGTTTTGTTTTGGGTATGATATTTGGTATACACTTTTATCATAAGGATTTCCAGGTCAAATTTTTGGTTTGGGTATGATGAGCAATTTTTGACAAGAGTTATGCCCTTGGACCTAGAAAAATTCAAATTATTTGGCAGGAGGACGCATTAATGTTTCACAAACATACTGTAAACGTATTACATTTGGCTGTGTATTCTTATTAGCGCCTTTCGCGGAAAGCAGCCTCCGCTAAATGAAGTACATCGCTAAAGGCTTTGTGTATAAAGGTTTATGTAACGCACATTCAAAAAGCGCTAAATCAAATCTATGCCAACTTGTTGAAAATTCAATTTCCGCCAAATATCATACACTCCAAATATAATACGTTAACAGTATCTTTTGTTTTATTTTAAGAGTACCTGAGTGATTTTGGTGCTTTCTTGTTATCTGTTCTTGTCTCACATGCATTTGAGGTGTTAATTGATTATAAAAAAATTAATTTTCAGCTTCTTCTAAAATCAGTCAATACAAATTTCAGCTATTTCAATGTAGCATCTATTGGTAAAGATAAATAAAAGTTTGAATTTCAGCCAGAAGGAGTAGGCCAGCGAAGCAATATTCATGCAATTTTTAAAAAGTGCATAAACTTCTGAACATCCAGCAGACAAACTTTTTTCACAAATTTTAAGAGCAGGATAATTATCTACATGTATTTATGGTTTTTACATGATTAAACAATTAGGTTGTGTATACCATAAAATAGTGAAAATCACAACATTTCCCTCTTTAGTGCATACGAGGCAATTTTTATGTAATGTGAAAGTGATCAACAAAGAGTACACTAGTTACTAAATCCAAAAATTCATGCATGATCATAAGATTCATAAAGTCAATGGCAAGGCATTGTTGGTCAAAACCAGAGAAGTTCATGATAAGTGACCTTCAAGATCCATGGACCTCTTATTTCCCTTTTGATATTAGGTCAAGAAAGTCATTTAGGTGACCCATTGCTACATGACTGTAATGGTTTTTTTTATATATATTTCATACATTTTTAAACATATTTACATTCTGCTCTTGAAACACTGAACCCATTTCAACCAATTTTTGCAAAAAGAATCAATGGATATAAAAGGGTAAAAATTTAAGTACATGATGCCTGCCATCTTGGGGCCAGAGGGACTGGGATAAAACCGTCAAATTTAGTGCTATATCTCTTGAAATCTCCTTCTTTACTTCTGGACTTCAAGAAGTCAAACTGATGTTATGATTGAAATACATGAATTAAAGTTTTGAGCTTTCTAAAAATTCATGGCCCATGGATCAGCAGTTATGGAGTTAGGGTGTGGATGGAATGATCATGTAGTGTGAATATAAAACTCTTAAAAATTTCTATCTCGCGTATTATATAGCAGATTTTGAAATTATATAGAGCAGTGATCACATTTCGTGAAAATTTTGTTTCTTAATAAACATGTCAATGAAAATTCTTTAAATGTCATAAGGTGTCCTTTTATTTTAATTTAAGTGATCTACAGTATGGCCATAGGGTGTGACATTAACATGATAATTGTGCACAGCACAACCTACATGTCAAAACAGTTCTTTCCATTTTTATTTTTGACCAACCACTTTGAAATACTCAGTAAACTTGTCAGATTTAGGTTCTGACTCTTTTAAAAACCACTTTGAAGTTCTGGGTTCTGACTCTTTAGTCTTTTTAAGGACAGATGATACAAACAAACTTTTGTTAAAAATTTTAAGGTAACAACTGTGAGGATGTTTTAATGAGCCAACATATATATAGTGTTTTTAATTTTTTATTGTGCACAACACAATTTCATGTCAAAAAATATTTGTATAGAATATAAAGGATGGTTTTAGAAAGGTATAATTTTGAACATCACAGAAGGTTTACAATTTCTTAATATTCTAGAAATTTATTATTTGCATCATTTTAAAAACGAAAAATATATAAATCCAGGCATCCATTTTTTTGTTTGTATCATCTGTCCTTAAACCCTCTGACTTACCCAAAGCACAAGCTCTCCCTCTACTGCTACAAAGAGTGTTGCCTTTCCTTTACAGTTTGTAATAATTTTTACATTTGCTTCTGGTTGTGAATGAATCCGAGCCATCATCAAAGTCCCTGTTATACAGCTGAAAAATCAACATCTGGATGACAATACCCCTTGTACCTTGCATTTCTACAAAACTGTATACTGTTTAATCATGTTGCTTCAAAAATGAGTGCTTTTTAATCATATCAATGTAGACAGTTATTCAGCATCATTAGAGTGGATGCTCTAGAGAGGTGGTACGTCTACTTTAAAAACTTTTCATGTATCCTTGTGTATCTACAATTATATACTCTGTATTTTTATGCATATCTAAATTTCATAACACTTTCCATATTTCCTCATTTATATTTGTATAATTTCCATATGCCAGCTTCATGACAAAATATGTATTTGTACATGTATTGGAATACTAGTATTTACAATGGATATTATTAATATTTCATTGAAAACAGTTATAGGCTATACTAGTATTAAAGGATGCTAAATTTTTCTTTTTAGTTAATTGCTACCCTGCTAGAAATCATCAATTTGATGTTTTACAAACAGTGTTCAAATTTATTTTCCCCCAATTTTTAGTTCAGGAAAGACTGACGAAGCAGATTGCTGTGGCACTCACAGAAGCTGTGCAGCCTGCGGGAGTGGGAGTTGTTATAGAAGCTACGTAAGTTTATTAAAAGATTATAGTTATCTTGGTTAGGCACAGCCTGCAGGAGTAGACATTGTTATAGAAGACATGGAATTAAGTATATTAAGAGCTTATGGTTGTTTTGATTAGCCATACAGCCTGCAGGAGTAGAAATTGTTAATGAAGCCATGGAACTGAGTATATAAATAGCTTATGGTTATTCTGGTTAGCAGTACAGCCTGCAGGAGTAGAAATTGTTATAGAAGCTATGAATAGCTAATGCTTATCTGTAGTTATAGAAGCCATGGAGCTGAGTATATTGATAGCTTATGGTTATTCTGGTTAGCAGTAAGTCTGCAGGAGTAGAATTTGTTATAGAAGCCATGAATAGCTTATGGTTATCTGTAGTTATAGAAGCCATGGAACTGAGTATATTAATAGCTTATGGTTATTCTGGTTAGCAGTACAGCCTGCAGGAGTAGAATTTGTTATAGAAGCCATGGAACTAAGTATATTAATTAAATAGCTTATGGTGTCCCGGTTAGCAGCACAGCCTGCAAGAGTAGAAATTGTTACAGAAGCTATGAATAGCTAATGCTTATCCTGGTTAGCCTGCAGGAGTAGGATTTTTATAGAAGCTAAATAAGTATATTAATGGTTAATAATAATCCTTGTTAGCCGTACAGACTTCAGGATTAGGAGTTGTAATGGAAGCTAAATATGTAAGTATATTAAGCTTATTGTTATCTTGGTTTGCCGTAGAATATGCAGGTGTGGAAGTTGCTAGGGAGGCTATGAGTACCTTGCTTGACTTCTATTTTTATGTATAACAGTTTTGAACCATTTATGAATTTCTGGTATTTGACCGTTTTGCAGACATATGTGTATGGTCATGCGTGGGGTACAGAAAATAAACAGTAAGACTGTGACAAGTACGATGCTGGGTGTCTTCCGAGAGGATCCGAAAACCCGTGAGGAATTCCTCTCTCTCATCAGGTGATAATGGAGGAGTTAAAAATTGTCGTCAATGCAGACAAAAAAATTATGTTGCTATGCTAGCATATTGTGTCTGTATTCCAAGATTTCTCGACATTCCTTGAAAAAAAAGAAATATTACATGGTGGCTTTTGAACAGTTTTATTTTACATTTTATATACTGTATGTATTTTACAAAAATGTTCCTTTCCAAATGTATAATTATTTGTGGGCTTATTTAAGAAGGATATTATATAGTTATCTTGTAAATTCTTTGAAGATTATTTTCAACATTTGTGATTTAGGAAAGGGGGGATGAATGCTTAAGAATTTAAAGAATTGTTCTGTTTTATTGCATAATATTTTTGGTTTATTACATAGGTATATTTATGTCATTTCATACAGTGGGTATGTTTTAACGATAACCCGGTTAATTTTTTTTATAAATTTAGAACAAGAAATTGATTTCGTTTGACTTGATGTTTGTTACAGGCATTTACATGTAAATGTAAAAAAAAAATCAATGATGGGGTTAATCAGGGCTTAACTAGTCTCAGTTAAATTAACATATATTTTACAATTATACCGAGTACCCGGTACGCGATTGGAAAATCGTCCGAGTAAAGTTTACCGATTATCAAAAATTGACGGATTTAACATCCCTAGTTTTAAACATGTTAAAATCTTTAAATATTTGGAATTTAGAAAATTATCTTTCCCCAAAACGATCTTGAGCTCCTGAAAGGATGTTAAAAGCATGTTGGTACTTTACATACTCAAATCAAATTGAACTGTGACGAACGTTTTTATGCATAATACAGTACCGACCAGACCCAACCTGACACAAAGCAGTCCCAAGCGGTCCCAAAGCAGTCTGGTCGGTACTGTACATCACCCACTTTCCCACAAATAATGCATTTTACGAGTATATTTTACAATTTATAAGAATAGTATTTTATGTGGTTGTTGGTAAGAAAGATATTACTGTATAGTTTTCATAAAATACATTTGCAGATAAAATAATAACCAGAAGTATTATATATAATTCAATAATTAGAAACTTTTAACGCTGTCGTTCTCTTAAACATTTGTGTTCTATGTCTGATGAAGGTTTTGTTGATTAACTAAAAAGAAAACTAGCAAAGAAGGTGTAATTAAAGTACATACGAGGGTTGATCCAAAAGTTCGAGGACTTTCTTCATATTTTATTTATTTATTGGTGAAATTGGTTGAAAATTACAAATGAGAATATAGACACTTGTTGAATATTTTGAATAAAAAAAGTTTCAAATATTTATGATAGTAACTCTATGGCAGTTGCCATAGAAACGGTTGTTTGGAAATGCGGGGGAGACATTAATGCGTTTATTATCATTTTAATTCTTAATACGTGAAATGGGAATAAACCCGCCCTATGTGGTGTATAGAATGAAAAATATGTCATTATTACGATTGCTTGATCTTTTATAAACCTTTGTGTGAGAGTTTTACTGATTTTACTAGATATTTAGTTTATTAGTTGATGATTTATTGTTCATCTTCAAGTTGTTAGACGAAGTCAAATTTCGGTAAAGTCATAAGTTTTGTGAAAATCCCGGGATCACTCTATCTGAAATGCGTATATTATTGACATTGACTGGGGAAAAATGCAATAAGTTACTAATTTTTCAGTGGCCTTAGAAATTTAAGAAAAATAGAACTTCCATGGACGTTGATTACAGGTGTGGCTGCCTTTTGGAGGTCTGTCTTACAGTGCAAGTGTTTCTCTCCCTAGACAAATGAAAAGCGTTAATGGAGGTTGTCGGCTGACGAACTGTTCTTGACATTGCTACTTATTTTGGAACATCACATGGCAAGATGAGGAGTATTTTGAAATATGAGTGATTAAATGAAGAAAATTTGATGCGAGAAAATACCCAGGCTTTTCTTGAGAAAAAAAAATATGATGAAGAGGGCAGCATTTTGTAGAATTACATATTCATATCGGACATTAGGGTGAGATGCTTCTATAACGTGACGTGAAATATGTAACTTGACGTTACGTCGAAGTCTCCCCCGGGTTTCACAACTATCTATTTTCAGAAGGCTCGTGGGACCTTATTGGTAAATGGAATGCGGTGAAAATTTCCAATATTGTTGCATTATGACTCTATATTATAAATATTCATGTTGTTTGCTTTCATCAAATCGCAATAAAATTTTAGAAAGAAATTACACGAACTTTTGGATCAACCCTCGTATGTAACATGCATTCTGTATTCAATATTTTGAAGTTATTGATTTGTCTGATTTTATACGGTTTAGTGAAGGAACAGATAGCATGGTATATTTTTTTAGTTTGCATATTGGAACATTCATTAAACTTTGCGTTTGAAAACTTGTATAGAAAAAAATATACCAAATATATTTATGAAAGTATTCTTTTTAATTCATTTGATACTTTGACAACTTTCTATTTCTCTGATTATAATTTTTGTTTTGTTTTGTTTACAATTTCAGTAGCATACTGCTATTTTGGAACTTTTATGTATGGATTTTTTTTTACTCCATATTAAATTCTATGATATATAATGTATATATAAAGCTTACTGTAAGTTTGTAATGTACTGGTATTCTGGTTATTTGTTTTATTGTACCATTTTAAAGACAATAAATTGTTATAGATCCATCCATTCATCAGTTTTTTAATTCCGATAGTTAGGTCTTTTGAGTAAACTCAGGTGACCTGTCGCTATTTTTGTTTTGTTCATCGTCGTGCATTAACATATTTGAACATTTTCAGCTTCTTCTCTGGAGCCACTGATTTTCTATTAACCATTACTTACAGTGATCTATTATCAAGGTGAATGGCAAAGGGGAATAACTTTGCTCAGTAGAATAAAAATAAATAGAGCCCCGGCCAGGACCAGAACACAAAATTCTGGTAAAAAT